AGTGGAACTAGTTGTGTCTAAATGTCCCTTTGTTGTCAACTCTCCGATCCTTGTAGCTTCTCACTGCCAGGCTGCTGGATGTCAGTTCTCCTCAATCTTTTCCCCAGCATACCATAGGCTCTCTGCAGATTTGGAACAGGGAATCTTTTTCCTCTGAGAAGGACATGCCCATATTTCCTCTGCAGTCATTTTGTGGTTGGCTGTCAGATATGGAATTCATGTAGCAGGGACCTACAGAGGCAACCTCTCTTGCAGCTGTTGGTTTTGCTGGGGGACATAAGTGTCCTGATCAATATTTATGCATGCATAGACCTCCAACCGTGGAAGCTGCCACAATGATCTGGCAAGGTGCTGGTCAAGAGCAACTAACCACACAACCAGCACCTCCTCGGATTGCTCTGAAAGTTTGAATATTGGCCAATATCCCTGAACAACTCATTAAATCTGGTGCTGATTTCTCCATCAAATATCATCTACTGTCTTGAACATCTGGATAGCTCAGTGGTTTAGATATCTAGCTGTGGAGCCAGAGGTTGGGAGTTCAATCCCCTGCTATGCCTCCTTGATAGGAGCTGGATTCCATGATCCATGTGATCCCTTCCAGCTCTGCAGTTCTAAGGTGATGATGATGATGATTTAGCACAATTTTTAACAGTCTTCACAATGTCTTTAGATCTGGTTTCACAGGTCCTCCTTGTGTTCCAGAAGGCCATCATTGGCTGAAATCCTGTTGCTTAGCATAGAGTAGATCATTGGATGAGTGAGGCTTAGGTGAGTCAGCTCCTCCATAAATTTCATTGATTCAATGGGCCTACTCTAGTTGCGACTTACCAGGATTTCAGCCGTTTGTCAGCAAGTAGGCTGGAAGAGACCCTACCCACCATTGTGTGGTTGGGGTTCTCTATCTTTGTAGCTTATTTTAGTCATATGCCAGTTTTTCTCCATTCAGCATCATCCTGATGCTCAGTGTTATGCCTGTGTTTTGAATCCATTTCCTAAAAAAATTAAAATAGAAGGAGTAGCTGCCCTTCCTTACATATCCGGAACCCTGCCTCCCTGAAATGCTATGAATGTAGATTCTGCTTTCCTTTAGTACGCACACTTTCATACGTGGATCTTTCACAGATATTCCTTTTTTTTAGAACTGGAGAACAGCACAACAATATTTGGGCAAGACAAAATCCTGAATGGTGGGTTTTTGGGGTCTGTATGGTTTTAGGACAAATTGATCAGCTGGGGTTGCATTACAACATAAACAGGATAAATTTCTCCCCCATCTCTGGGGCCATCTTTATGCTACAGCTACCGTCTGTCATACATGCAGCCTTCTAGTTGACAACAAAGAGTCACCTGCCTATCACCACAAATTCATATTTACTCTTAGGTCCTTAATACTTATTGCTTCCTCTTCCATAAATCCTATTTTTCCTCTTGCTTCTCAGTTTTCTCTTTCTCTTCCAGCCACCCCTCCGTCAGACAAATGTCATGTTCTCGGGATGCTTGATTCACTCGAATCTCTCCGGAGTTTACTTGTGTTTCATAGAAATGCAAATCCAGCTTCCTTGTGGTGATTATCTTTCTAATGATCCATGGTTTATAACCTTCATAATCAGAACAATGATTTAAAAAAAAAACCCTGGCTAGGTTTTAAAAAACAGAATCCTGAGCTGTCCTTCTGCAGTGGGTGACAGCTGGGAAGATATAAACCCCCTCACCATTGTTGAACGTAATCACCGGGTTTTGGGGGGGAAAACATCAAGCATCTGGTTTATGTCATCTGGAGTGGAGGGCTACAGAATCTCATTTTCCAGCCTGTAGCCTTCTTCTTTTCCCCCTCCCTCTCCTTTCAATTTTCGGAGCATATCCTCTGTTTATCGGCTGCTTTTAACCAGATGTTCCAGTCCATTGGAAATCAAAGCCTAAACCACATGTTCCAGCAGAGGAATGGCAGCATGTGGGTTATGGGATGGCAGGGGAATGCAAGACATGCTTTTAGGGGCTTTTAGTGAATAGCCTTCTAACGGTAATCACAAAGCAGCCACACTTCTTGCAACACTTACAGACAGTTGAACATAGGTGACAGGATCAGAGCTTGGGGAAGGGGCTTCTTTCAACTACAACACCCATTTACCCCTAGCCAGCAGGACCACAGACTGGTAAGGGGGCAGAAAGTTCCGTATTCCATAATGAAGAATTGTAGCTGGGCACACTTAGTTGGTTATCCTGTTACTCCATTCATCTAGAAGGGTTGGGTTGTCCTTGGTGTGGGGTTAGCCACAGCAGAGGTGGGTGAAGCCAGGCAGAAACAGAAGGCCTGGGGCAAAAGTAGGTTTCAGTGCCCATACATGCCCAAGTGTAGGTTGGTCAGCAAACATTCACTGGCATACTTATCAGGAAGGCAACATAGGCTGGGCTCTGGACCTCCATCAGGCAAGAGTGGACTAGCTGGGAATAGCTTATGATGGAGTGATTGCCCCAAGTATCCAGATGGAATTGCCCCGACTTCATTGTGCTCAATAATGTGTGCTCTGACTGGTAGGAGTGAGCCTGGCATTCAGACAGGGCTTTCTCACATGCCCTACCTACCCCTGTTTCAACTGGTGATGCAAAGGATTGAAAACCAGGGCAGTGTAGTGCATCGAGCATTAGACTTGGACTCAGGAGATCTGGGTTCAAGTCCCTGCTTGGCCATGGAGGTGGGGGAGTGGCACTCCTTAAATATCTCACTTACCTTGAAAACCCTATTAGGGTTGCCAATGGTTGGGTATACCTTATTGACACAGAACTACAACAACAGGGGATTGAACCTAGAACTTTCAGCATGGGTCTACCATGGAGCTGTGATCTTCTCTGATAACGCTAGTGAAGTCTGCAGGGGTCCCCCCCCTACTTGGCCAAGTTTCTGATGTTTATACACCAGGCACCAATGAAGCAGGTGAAATGGTCCCCATCACGTCCGTGAAGATTCTCAGTCATCCAGGTGAGGTTATCTGGAAGGTGAGTCACGGCAACCCATCCAGACTGAAGAAGCGACTTGGACAAGTAGGGAAACATTTTACACCTATAAGTCCAGTTGCCATGACTCAGCTTCCAGGTCCCTGTCACTGCTTCTCCATGTTAAAGAAGGCTATTGAATATCTGCCACCAACAACAGGTACTGGAAAATCAACGGAGGGTTTTTTGATTTAGCCTTTTCATGCCGGACAAATTCACTCATCCAAAGCGGGAGGGTTTTTAAAGATGCACCCGGTTCTTTCATGGCAGGATTCAAATATGTAGAAGGCGGCCGTCACATCCATGGAATTAACACCTTGGTCTTGGTCGGTTGGTTTGTGTGGTTTCAAAGCTACTCTTTCCTGTTCGCCCAGGATGGGTCTTAGCAGTTTTTGCAGACTCCAAGAGGATGGAATCTATGGCCCGTTGGATGCAGTTGCAATGCAGCTCCTTCCAGCCCTAACTGGGATAGAGTTTAAGGATGACTGGTGTTGTGGTCTTCAGTGTCTGGAGTTCCAGATGTGCTCCATTCCTGTAGTCCGAAGGGAACATATTCCCAACCTAGATGATGACGTGAGAGGCTGGGAGCCCTCATGAATTCTGGAGGCTGCATTTTAGTCCCTGAGGGTGGGTACCACCAGCTCGGGGGGCTGCATGTTGCCCACCCCCATTTTGAGCATCAGTCATTAGAGAACTCTTCCAAAATGATAGCCACGGTGGCTTGCTGATGAATTTTATGTTAAGGGATTCATTTGGGTGTTGCATCTTCAAATGTGTTGACGAGGAGATGTTTATGGCTCAGTGGGCTCTCAAATATCTCCAGGTGAGCTTTCTTGATAAGGAAGAAGGGGGGGGGGGAAATGGGATTTTTTTTTTAAAAATTAGCATTTTGGCTGCCACTTTCAAGGGTTCCACAGCTGATCTAGGGAAGCGAATGCTCGCAACACTATTTTGTTTGTGCAGAAAGAAGTCAGTTTATCAAAAGGGATGCTTAGGGAGACTTGATTTTTTTTTTTTAAAAAAAGGCATATTGTGAAGGCAAGACAGAGTCTTATGGCCCGATGTATACAACAGATTCAAGCCTGAGGTTTTTAGATGTAAGGATCCAAATGGATGTGACCGCCTGGAGCTATTTCAAATACCACTTTTAACTGATGGTTTCATCTAGAGATGGGCACGAACCACAGTCTCGTCCTTGGTCCAACAGTTCTTCCATGGTTCTGAACCCTGCCTCCTCTGGCAGATGCCCATGCAGAGGCGGTGCCCAGAGGAGGCAGGGCGAGGAAGGTGGGGCTGTGCCTCTGAGTGGGTGCCTGCCAGAGTAGGTGGGGCTCAACACAGAAAACACCTGTTGGACAGACGAATGAACCTCCACAAACCACCAAATCAGCAATTTGTGGCCATCTCTAGTTTCATCTTATTGACTCCTGCTATTGTTGGTTTGGAAAAATCCTTCGAATTTTATGCCCTTCTATTCTATGAGCCTAATCAAATGTTCTGCAAGGTGGGAACATGGCAGTCAATGTGCTATTAAACCAGTAGAGGTTAACCACTTGGATTTCGTGGGGATTATTTATTCGCTCAGTTTTTAACTTGAATTTTTGAAGAGTGATCCGATGTCCTGAGCCTGTTTTAGGGGAAGGGTTCGGTACCTTGGGTAGCGCCTTCAAAGTTCAGGCTAAAACTGGAAAGGGATGCATCGTTTCTGCAAAATTGGAGGCACTCCCCTGAATCAAACTGTTATAACTGTGTTGCGTAAGTGGACTTTTAGTCTATGGCTGAGCAAACATTTTCCACCCAGAAGGACCAGGGTCCCAGACCGATAGATTTAGAGAGGTTTCCGTGGAGTATTGTTGCCTGATATTTGTCAAACGGGGGGCTGTAGTACTCAGTGAAATCAAAGACCATCCTGATGAATCTTCAGTTATAATGAGTTACCTTTGGCCAGAATTTGGTGCGGATATAACAGTGACTCCCTTTTCTCTCTCTCTTGTGTGATACTGTAGGACACAGAGGTCCTTAATACGGCTATTCTGACCGGGAAACCAGTGTCTGTCCCCGTAAAAGTAGTAGCTGTCGAAGAGGACGGATCTGTGAGAGATGTTTCTGGCTCCACCGAATGTAAATCCGCTGATGAAGACGTCATCAAGGTAAGGTGGCTGCACAAGTTCTTGAGAACTTCAGAGTGGACTTTTTGGGTTAGCTTCAGGCTCATTGGGGTCTTCAACTGTGCTTCTTAGTCTGGTTAGCTGCCCTTTGAGTTGGTTCCAGGAAAAGCTTGAATCTGTTCTTTTTAAAGAGAGAGGACACTGGAAATAGAAATCTCTGAGGCTGGAATATGATGAGGGATACGAGCAACGGTCTGTTACCAGCATTTTTTTCTGCCCATCCCTAGGTCTAAAGATAGTTCTGTGGGGGTCTCTCTCTGTGTGTAGATCTATCTTTAGGGCGTAGATTTATCCAACTCACCCATAGAAGTCTGGCCATTGTTAGATTGTGGCCAAAGAGAAGACTCCTTTGTTGATTGTTACTTCCGTTCCACCATCTCAAATCAGAAAGGAATGGGGCATGTATGGATCTCCAGACTTTGTTCCATTGTGATTCCCATCTTCCTTTATCACTGACTGATGGAATCCTACTTAGATAACACCTGGGAATCCACCTTTTCTTGCCCCAGCTCTCCCAATCATCCTCAAGGCCGGATGTAATGCTCCCCAAGCAAACAATAACAGAAAGAAAAGTTGCAATGTTGGTGGTCCTCGGGGAATTAAAAAAAAGTTAAGAGAAGGAAGGTGAATGGATTAAATAAACTGCTGAAACTTCTAGAGCCTTTCAGATTCTCTCCTGCTTTGAGAAGACCACCTTTCCTTCTGCTAATTAGCTCTTTTCACAGGTACATTTGTGACCTGACAGGTAACCCTTGCACACCTTTGGTGGACTTCTTGTTTAAACTTGCAAGATAGCCAATCGTTTCATTTTTAAATTATCAGCCCAACTTTGTGTGTGTGTCTGTGTGTCTGTGTGTCGGTTCAACAAGGCTAGTGAGAATTTCAGAGGGCACAGGAAAAATGTTAGGGCTGTCCTGTTATTCAGTCTGAAAAAGACAGCTCTGTTTTTCACCAGACCCTGAAATTCACCTTCTCAACTGACTTTGAAAGGGCTTGGCATGAGTTCATTAACAAAGGAGAACGAAAGGTCTGAACGCCGGAGGAAGTCCAAGGAGTTCATCAAAACATCTTGAGATTTCATGTTCTTGGCACTGGGAAAGGTGACACCTACATTTTGCACAAGTAAAGGAAAAGGGACTTAAGAGAACATACTGTCTTTTCTTATTGTAGTTTCAAAGAAATTCTCCTTCTATGTAGCAGCAGGGTGGTTGACTTTCTCCCCATAGGCCTATCTTTACACCAACAGATAAGCAGACTGATTTATATACACGTCAACTTCCCATCCCTCTTTATGTATCTGTTCTGTCCCGATGCTGTGTGAATCTACATTTTTTTAAACAAATCTATGCCTAAACTTTCACTCTGGTATACCTTAAAATAATACCTTCAAATACATCTTCCTCTGATTCCACCCCACCATTTTTTAATATATTTCAACATTTCCCTTAAAAACACACACCTTAGAATGTCATCAGAATATTCTTGGTGTTCCTCTCCATTTGGAGATATGGAACGCCATCTTGGCTATATATATATAATATTCTTGGTGTTCCTCTCCATTTGGAGATATGGAACACCATCTTGGCTATTGTGATTTTGGGCATTAGAGTTCTAAACAAGGATATCCTGCATCCAAGATTTTTGGGCGCCATATTTTTTTCTTTCTTCTACTTCCCTATTTACTTTTTGAATGATCAGCTTAACAGCCTGATATATATATATATTTGCTCCTTATTACCTGGCAGAGTGTTCCTCTCCATTTGGAGATATGGAACACCATCTTGGCTATTGTGATTTTGGGCATTAGAGTTCTAAACAAGGATATCCTGCATCCAAGATTTTTGGGCGCCATATTTTTTTCTTTCTTCTACTTCCCTATTTACTTTTTGAATGATCAGCTTAACAGCCTGATATATATATATATTTGCTCCTTATTACCTGGCAGAGGTATTCTAGCTTTCTTTCTCTTATGAGTTTCATGACTTCTAGGTATTTTCCTTAGTACTTCTTCAAAGGTTGCACTTCTGATCCTAAAAATCCAGCCATTCAAATGCTGCTACTTTTTAAAAAAATAGTTGCCTCTTCAATTCCCACCATTCTACACTGTACAGTAGAACGGAGAATACACCACACTGCACAGTGCTTATTCTCAAAGCTAGCTTTAAGTTTTTGTGGCATGCCAAAGAGGAAAGAAGTCATGGTGTTCCAATTCACCCCTTAACCTGAATTGGGTCCATTTGGTATCAGAAATGGCCAAAACTTAAGTTCTCAAACATCTGTTGGAATTTGCATAAATTCCCCATTTGGATCTTTCTTGCTCAAGGGTACAATTTGGCCCTGTCTGAAACCTCAGAGGTGCCACCTATGAGTGTAGGCACTACCAAAGTAGATGGACCAGTTAAGTATAAGAAATCTTTGTACAGTGTGGTCTCGACTTACGAACTTAATCCGTATTGGAAGGCAGTTCTCAGGTCGAAAAGTTCTTAAGTCGAATCTTCATTTCCCATAGGAATGCATTGAAAACCATTTAATCCGTATCTGCTCTTTTCGTCCATAGAAACTAATGGGAAGCTGCTATTCTGCCTTCTGCCACTAGAGGGGGATATTTTTTTCTTTTTTCCTTTTAACCTAAGATGACTTAGCTTTTAAAAAAAGGAAAAAAAGAGTTCGTAACTCGAATCTAAGTTCGTAAGTCAAGTCCATATATTCCTATGAGAGCAGTTCGTAAGTCGAAACGTTCGTATGTCGAGCCGTTCGTAAGTCGAGACCCCACTGTATGTTCTACCAGAATGTCTAAGATGTGTTTAGCTGGCTCAGCTTCCGTAGGGCAGGGGGTGTCCGTGAGATGGTTAGACCATCGTTCTTGTAGATACCATCCGGATCAAGTGAGATTATGTGTTGTGCTTGCCCTCTCTGTTCAAAGAAATTTGAAAAGGTCAGTCGGCAATTCTAATCCATGGCATCAATTTTGAGCAGGCCTTGGCTCGACAAAGATAAATTCAAGAAGCATTGTAAGAATGCTGCTTTGGATCAAAGAGGGGAAAGGAATCTGTTGTTACTTTGATCCCAACTGCCACCGTGGGAAGGAATGGCAACTTTGGCTCGACAAAGATAAATTCAAGAAGCACTGTAAGAATGCTGCTTTGGATCAAAGAGGAGGAAGGAATCTGTTGTTACTTTGATCCCACTGCCACCGTGGGAAGGAATGGCGACTGGATGGCTCTCCAGATGTTTTCGGATGGCACGTTCCATCTTCCCCTCATCCTCTGCCAGTTATGAGAACAAACATTGTAGTCCAACATCACCTAACTGACTGCATGTTCTCCCAAGTAAGGGATATAAAATAGAGGGTGGTAGATCATGAGGCTGGTATATCTGCTCCGGGTTTTAGTCTAAACTTTACGCGACCTCTCCAAAGTGCCCATCTCATCCTCAAAACAGGCCATGCACCTCGGCTGGCGATAGTTCCTTCAAGGTTTAGGCCAAAGCTGGCGGTCAACAAAACAAAGCACAGATCATTTCTGGGTGATACTATCGTCCCAAATTTCAGTTGGAACTTTAGCTAAGCTGCTAATAAATGAAAGGGATCTGTCTAATTATGGACAATAGAGTTTTTTAAAAAAAAATTAAATAGAAGTGCTTATCAAAATGTAAAAAGATGCCATCTGAAGAGATACGGTCAGACACACACACACACACACACACACAGAGAGAGAGAGAGAGAGAGAGAGAGGGATTTTCTCTTTTCAAATAAAGCTGGCTGGGACATAGGTAGGCATCATCTAAAAGCATAGATTCTAATTTTTCAAGTTTCTGGAGTTCGTTTTAATCGCTGTGGGAACTGGGGAAGATGTATAGTGAAAACCCTCCGGGTGTCTATCCACATGTAAATCCCACTGTTTAAGTGAAGCCTCCTCCTCCTCCATATGGGCTTACCGAATGCCGCTGTAATTAATTAATTGCTTGCATGATTCGCTGATCACAAGGGAAATGGTTAGACAAAGATCTCCTTAATCAGTAGCGAACCATCGTTTTGACTTCTATCTTTTTGCTGCATACCTTGGCTGGAGACCTTATCTGATAAAGGGCTTCCTCATTTTTCACTCCACAATATATTATTTTTGTGGGGAAACCTCATGGTTATATATCAGCAGGTTGGGGGGGGAAGGTTGCTTAAAGTGGGGGATTTGCTCTCCTCTCCCCACTTCATTCCGGCATATGGAGACGTGTTAAGACAGCTCTTGAGGACTTATATCGGTGTTAATTGAATTTCTTACATTTTTGCTGGAGTATTTAGGTGCGACTGAGCATTGAGTTAATCTTGCTTGGGAACTCTCGTTAAAAAGGATTACGTTCCCAAGAGTACGGATATCTCTGTACGGTTCAGAACCTCTGCTGCATTTCAAAACACCGAAAAATAAACTTGAGCAGGTCATATGATCTCTTCTGTTGGACCAGTTTGGTTTCCATGTATTTCCTGACTTGGGGCCTCCAGATCTTCTTGGTCTAACATTCCTAGAAATCCTGGCCAGCTCAGCTAGAGGTGAAGGCTTTGGGGAGATTTAGTCCAAGAACATCTGGGGATCTGCGGCGGGGAACCAGAGAGGACAACTGCTGGTTGATTCATTGAATCAACTGCTGTGAAAGGTCAGTAGACATTTACCTAAATCATCTTGATCCAATGGGTCTTGTATAATTGGACTAGTGGTAGAGATAATTTCTTTGTGGGAGGGGAAACAGGTGAATGATAGGAGATGCACATTTCCCGTTATGTCACTTGGCCCTCTGAGATCTCCCACCCCTATATTTGTCATCCCTGCATAATTTGCTAGTGTGATCTGATAGCTTTATATTTTTCAGAAACCAGAGGAAGCTCGCATACTTTGGAACCTTCTTGATAGGTCTTAATCGAGAGAATAACCAGTTATATATAGAGACATCTCTCCCCCCCCCGCTTCCTACTCTGCATGGCTACTTTCGTTTTTCATTTCATAAACGTACGTGGGAATTGGGATCCAAACATACTTATTTTTCTCTTTCATCCTTTCTCCCCTTTGTTGTCACATCCATTATATTATACGCTAGCGTTTTTTAAAAAGTACACACCACCTCAAGTAAATCGGGCGAGACGCAGCCCGTCAATGCTAGAAGACAAAGTGACAGACAAAAGGATCTCGGAGTTTAAAAACCCAGGGATTCCACTATTGTTCTGTTCATTTACACCAACACCTTT